GAGGGGGGTGGCTTAACATCACTGTTGTCCAATAAAGTACACAATATTCTGTGTGGATTTTACTGGAAAAACGTTGATTAAAGGCACAATAATGTAAGTTTTCAGTTTCCACGGACTATCAAACTGAGGAAATAGCCACACTTTGGTGGCTTTTTTTCTCGCTAATTCTACTTTAGAAACCAGGCAACCCCCACCTCCTTCAACCTCAAATATCTCGACTTCTATTCAAGAGAGAGGGGCTTTTTTCACCGATAGTAAGACGACTGAACAAGCTTGAAGAAGATATAAAACACCACATGTCTCAAAATTGACGACGAGTGCCTGATTCCACCAGGTCGTGACACAAATGTATTCTGAGAAGCTGGAAGGGTATAACAATAGTATTATGATTATTATAGCCAAGACCGAATGAATTAAAACACTGTTTCGTATGTACATGTTTACTTGCTTGAACAATGCCCACCCTTCCAACGCTGTTCTAATAACCAATAAAAAAGAAACAACGTTTACGGGTAGACGATTTCGCTTACACAGCCCAGCCACCATTATACACGTAGAGTGACCCAGCACGAACTGTGCAAACAAAGACCTGCAATTAAGTGGCCAAACAAGGGTGAGGTCAAAGTGTACGGAGCTCAGGGTAGAGGCTGGACATTCCTGCTTCTTGGTTGGACATACCGATTACTATTCGCTCTACCCGAAGTTGTGCTGTCGACTATAATCGAGCGGTTTTGAGTTAGTCGAAGGTTTCTTGGTCTTCCATTTGCCTCGAATCTCTTTTTGTGAGCCTTATAGGCTGGATGTTGTGGCCCCATTTTCATAACCCTAGCCTTGTCGGACAAGGGCGAAACGTTAAAGATCCCCTGATGGTCTAAAATCGATTCAAGAGTGGGCTTCTGCCGCAACACGCGAAAAAATTCAAAATTTCTTACCAATATTTCGTTTTAGCTTTTGAATGCTTTTTAAAATATGGCAAGCTCTTTCCTGAGAAAATTGGTCTCACTGGTCATATCGACTTTACTTTCTTTAAGTTCTATTTAACGCTATCCGCACGTCGCGTTTTACTATCGTATCCATACGACGTGGGGAACTTTGTGCCACTACTTTCCAAAGAGAAAATTTACTCGTTAATCCGATCCAAACGCTTTGCATTGTTGTAGTCTGTCAAAAATGTGGGTTTAAAAAAAATAGAAATACTGAAAGTTTCACAGAGATCTTCGTACGAGAAGTATTCTAAAATGACGTGATGAATACAACACCGGGGGTACACAACGACCCAAGGGCATACGGATAGGGAGCCAATATTCTTGTGTAGATATTGTTCATATTTTGTTATCTCGTCAATTGCAGCGTTTGTGAGTGTAGTTCGGTGTGTCGTGTTGCTCTGCTGTGTCCAGTGTCCGTTCACCTGTGTGTTAGTGTCCGTCGCTGTCTGCCATTCGAAGAGAGCACATTGTACGTTAATAAAAACAATTAAAAAGTCAATCTTTCAAGTATGGCTCGCTCGTTTTACTTTACGACACATAGTTATTATATATCATTGACATGTCATAATTTATTGTTTGTATTGTCATCTTTCTTCTTCTTCTTCTTCTTCTTCTTCTTCTTCTTCTTCTTCTTCTTCTTCTTCTAGACCATCAGCTTCTTTTAGCCCAGCATGATACCAACTGAGCTGAAGATGCCTTCAGGCAGAGTGTGGTTCCGATCCTTGAAAAACAATGGCATTTGTGAGGCGTGCTGACAAAATGAGTTACTTCTCGCAACCCATGAGTGGAGATGTCAGCCGGAAATCAACACATAAATTTGGTAGAATTTTAGGGAGTGCCAATTTTTCTTCAAGTTAGACATGTCTTTTATCATTTCATATAATATATTGTACAAATCCAACCTATACATTTCATCTATCTATCTGTGTCCATAGGGGTAAAATCTGAGACTACACGCATTTTGTCAGCACCCATCACATTTGGTTTTTTTGAAAAGATACACTACTAGGACAAATAACAATAACACTTTTATAATGTGTTTTAATTTGTATTTGAGAAAAAAAGACAAATGTTTGGCCATACCTGCTTTAAATCTGGCTCTACGATGATGATACTGTACTTGTGTATATCTAGTCATTATTTTTCTTAAATGTTCCTGACGAAGCCCTCGGGGTCGAAAAGTGGAACTCGTTATAGATTTTGAAATTATTCACAGCCTTCACCTTTTTTGTTGTTGTCTTTTTGCTGTCTATGATAATGATGATGACGATGAGCACTTTCTTAGTGCACAACACTCAGATGGCATATTTTCTAGTGCTGGGTGGCTAGGTTCCCGATTGTTGAAAGCTAGGAATCGTAGGAATCGACTCCGAACCCAGTTACTTACTTTCTAATGATGTGATTTCTTCCGTGGTTACTTAATTGGCTCAAAACATCTTCAAGACATAGGACAACCTTGATTTCGGAACACTACAAAGTATCAACATTTATTTTTCAAATGTAAATTCTTTTAAAAAGAAGAAAATCCTGTGGTATTCATAAAAATTAGGTCACACTTTTCTTCCGTAGTATTAATCGTAGTAAGCGGTTCCGGAATCGAGTCGACGATTTTTCCTCTGCAAAGATAAGCCCGCTGTTGTTGCTGAATAAAATTCGAATACATTACTCGAATGTGAAATGCGAAGAAATAGATCGATATTTGAATCGAAGGTTGGGAACAAAACTCGCAACTGGGAATGAATAACGAAGGAGAGCGCGAGACGGCGAGAGGGTAAGATAAAGAAATTCAGAGCGAATATCAGCTGCAACGAACAACAAAATTGATATTTTATGTCGCGTTTTCGCTCGGTATTACATTGTATAGATTTGCGTTTCTTCTTTCTTTCCCTTGTGCAAAGACCAACTAGCATTCAGCATCTATTTTTGCGGCTGTGGGACTTGCTGGGAAAGGGTTGAAGAAGAGGGTGGTTTGGTTTGTC